CTCATAGAAAGCAAAGGACTCAGTTAGGACTCCCGCACTCGGAAGGAAGTGGCCCACGAAATTTCCACGAATTGCTAAAAGTTCCTCGTGGCCTCCACTCTTCACGTTTCCGGTTTCTGTTTACGCGAAACTTTTACGCATTCGCCTTGAATACTGATGGCGATCTAAGGCTTGGGCATGAATGAAACGAGTTGGGCAGTGCCATAACAGGATGTTTACCGGCAGTGGTCCAGCTGATGGGCAAGGACATGCGGCTGGAATTCCAGGAATCGCCATTTGAATGGACAAAGCGCGTGTGTTTGGAGCGGAATCCGCTCGATTCCACGAACCAAAGCTGCAAAAGTTTTCAAGATGTTTCTCTACTTAGATTAGAGTCAAAGGATATTTTGGTTTGCAATACCTTATACTATAGAATATAAAATTTTCTTGAAGATACTTAATACTCAGCTTATGATTACCGTATGGCATTTTAAACTTTCATATTAAAATAATATAATGTTTACATAGATTCATGTCTTGGTTTAAATTTGTTTACTTTATAACTAATATTGAATTTTATTTCACATATTAATTAAATTTTTAAAGCGGTTTTCCATACACATTATTATAGAATATTTAATTTTGTATAACATTTTAAAGTTTTCATCTTAAAATATTATTATATTTACATAGATACAACTCTAGGTTTAAATTTGTCTACTTTATAACAAATGTTGACTTCATATTTAACATATTCCATAAAAAAACATTGCCGAAGATCCGGAAGTGTCTAAAATCTCACGTTTAGATTCAATGGCTCCCCACCTGTGACCGGAATTAGATTGCATAAGCAACCCATTCGCAGGCTCTGTTTGCTCCCAGGACTTCCCACGCTAAACAACTTCCGTTCAGAACCGTTTGCATAAGGATCCCCCCACCGCCAGAAATCGAAAGATATTCCCACAGATGAGATGTGCTGGAATACAAAGGCAAGATTATGCAATGCACCTGATCCACCCTCGCATTCGGCGATCCTTGATTTGATCTGACCCTCTTCCTTCTCGTTTTTAGCAAACAGGGTGCTGGATGTACAGGATCCCAGTCGCGTTTCCGTTCTCAGGCCCCAGAAAGATTTCCGATAAGTTTCGAATTCAATAACAAAGAGACAGCAACTGCTGCGGTTTCGCCTTTAACTGCTGATGCTGCTGCTGCTTCCAATTAAGCGAAAGTCGAAGATTTCTGCATCTAACAACTGCCAAAGGATTAACTTGTCCAGCTGTTGTTGTGCGAAATCCCAAAATCCTGGTGCAAAAAAATTCACACGGAAGTGAAGTTTGCATCTTCAAGTGGCGACACCTCCACCATCATCTTGAAACAGTAAAAACATTAAACAATCTGCAGTAAAAATTTGAAAAACTCGTAAAAGACCAAGAGATTGCAAAGCAGCTGTTTTTGAGCTGCCTGGGAAGAGGTTTCAGTCCTTTTCTGGATAGATATCCCGCAGGATCCTCTAGGCGATATACATGTACCTGCTGCTGAGACTCTGTGGGAAGCGCACATGTTCCCATCTTCGTCCTTCGTTTTTATCCTCATGAGATGCCTCGATACTCGTTTTGGGGTTTCCAGTTTTCCGATTTCCCGTTTGTGTTTTGCATGAAATCGAATGTTCGCTTCAAGGTTTCCTATTCGGTTCTGTTACATTTCCATCCTGTGTGGGAAAAATCGGATGGGAATTTTTCTCCATCAGCACCTGCCAAATAATATTCGAGATGTTTCTTGAGGAATGATTTTTAAAGAAAATACGATACAAAATGAAAACAATAGATTAAGTTATAAGTCTTTCAAAGGACTTATATTGATACAAATTTTTAGTTAGAGTCCAAACGGGAAATATACATCAAATTATAATAGAACGCTTTTAGATTTAAGATTTATATTGGCAAAATATTTAAATAGGTATAGATAAGTATAAAATCTTGACTTTTAAGCTTGGTAAAATACTTCAAAACAAAGCTGCATAAATTATTATTTTTTAATTTCATTTGGTGATAAAAATAAAATATGAAAATTGCAGGTCACATAATGTTGTCTCATTATAAATATGTTGTTTACTTTCATTCAAGCTTTACTATCATCAAAAGACCCACACATTACTGTCGTGTTTATTTTGTTAAACCCTTTTGATTAATAACAAGTTCAGCATTTAAACGACACATGCCACTGAAGAGATATCGGCAACAGGTTGCAATTGATCGTTACATCATCCATCTGAACTATAAACAGATCATGAGCGACACACGTTCCACTTGATACGAAGAGCATGTCCCGCCTTCAGATCTTGAAAAGCCCCCTTTTGAAGCCCCCCTCCCGAACCCAGCGAGTGTCACAAGCCACGCGACTAATTTTCAAGTTTTTTAGCCTCCACAACAGGGCCAAGAAAAAAGTTATATCTGAAGACCAAAAAAAAAAAACATGCTCAAAAAATATGCATAAAATTGAAGAAGATCGGCAGAAGAGGCTGCAAAGTGAAAGATGTTGCCTGTCTGGTGGACTTGGCCAAGTACATGACCCCAATTTCTTTGTTGTTGCTGCCTTATTATTCAAACTGCACGGCGCCCTTCGACGGGTTAAGGGGCTGGGGCTGTCAAGGGGTTAAGCGGAAGGTCCACGCAAAAAGGATGGATGATGTATGTTGCGCTTTCAATTTGGAGCAGCAGGACATCTGTTTTTCGGAGATGGAGCTCTCAGCTCTCGCTTACCTGCCGACTTCCAACCGGTTTACAGGTGCTAACTTGGCTCCAAAAGCTCGGGGGTTGGGGGCTTCAGGGAGTTAAAGGGGACTAAAGCGGCGATCGAGAGGCTGCCGTTTGGCTTTGCCCCACAGCCTGCAGGTTTTTCTTCTCGCTGCTCCTTTTCATTTTATTTCTTCGCCGTTGCCGTTGTTTGATCATAAATTTGTGTTTAATTTAAAAACTTTTCACTCTTCTCCGGGCTCAAAAACTCCCGGTGCGAGTACTTTACTGTCAAATTTATTGCGAGAAATATATTTTTGTTTAAATATTGCAATTACAGTTTGACATCTTTAAAGCATCTCGCTTCAATCGTAAATTATTTATATTTTAAATTAAAATAAACTTTAAGAAATGGTATGTAACTTGCAATCGGAAAATTATTTTTTTTCTACTACTTAATAACTAATTGCATTTTAATTAAAGAAATCTGTTAAATATTCTCCAAAATGTCTTTTATCAAATTTTAATTAAATACGATCGCGTTAATATGATTTGTCATATTTTTAGTCTTCTGATATACTTAATAATTTTAAACTAAGATTTTAATTTCTTTGAGCCAAATCATAATATTAATATACTTGTTAATCATATATCTCAAGGCAAATATTTTGTACATGCTTAAATTCTGGTTGATGTTAAGGGAGCTCCACTGTGTTCGGCAAGGATCGGTGGCGGACACTTGAAAGTCTGGCGGGAGAAATTTTGGGTCTGGCTCCGCCGCAATTCCTTGTAAAATTGGGTGTTGACTTGATTGGTTTCGTTTTCTGGGTCTTCCTCCTGCTCTCATGCATATGCAAATGTCCCTCGGTTCGATGCAAATTAATGAAGACCGATTTTTATTGTACAAATTTCAACAACTTTATTTCGGGCGATGAGAGTTCTGGTCATGTTCTTCTTAGCCCTTTGCCTTGTTGTCCCATTTATCAGGTGTTTTCAATGAACTGCTGTTATCAAGTGATTTACAATGTTTGGTCAAGTAAGCGAATCAAATTAATCTTGTTCTTTTCGGAAGGTGACTGGGCTAATTATTAATAAAAGTTCAGACAAGAGACCGCCTCAGATTTTAATAAAGAAGTTGGATCAAAATTATACTACTTTAAGCAGCAGTTCATTTATTTGAAGCAGAATATTAACAAACATTTTAAACGAAAATCAATTACGTTTTATTTTTTATAAAGCTTAGTTTAGAAATAAGCATAAATTACTACACCCACAAAAGTTTTAATCATATTATAGTTAATCTCTTCAATATATACTCTAGGCAGTATTCAAGTGTAAATATTTAATAAAAAACATTCTTTTCATATGCAAATTAGATATTATAAAACGACGAGGTGCCTGTGGCTTATCATTGATTTTTGCTAAAGAAACCAACCCCCATACCTAAGCAAAAGTTATATGTAGTAAAACCAGCTCAAAGACTTAAGAATTTATAACCCACTGTCAAACAATTTTTGTTAAAATTTTTTTATCACAAAAGATCTGAATGCCAAATAAAGAATTTGGTTAAAAGTTTTTTACAGCTTATCTATACCAAAAATACTATAGGTAAGTCAAAAATGTTAAGTTTTCGGGTAAAATAAAACGACTTAATTGACCAAAAAGCTATCATAAACAAGTCATACGAACTTTGTCTTTTCTATTAAATTATGTTTACTTAACTGTTACAAGGATAGTGAAATACATAAAAAATAAAAGTGAATTGTCCATAACTACTTTTATTATTTTTTTTAATAGTATTTTTTCTGTTCCTATAGCCTCTCTGACTATTCAAGTAGTTTTTTACTCTTAAAATGATTACAATAATTTAAACTATTGTTAATTGCTACTGAAATAACACAATAAATGTTTACTATTTGCTTGCAACATTTCTTTGCAACAATGTTGCAGCAACATTTGTTCCATCTGCCCGCGGAAATGCACTAATTTTGGCCACGAAACCCGTTCTCCAAAGCAGCTGCGCCACCAATACGTAGGTTAGAAAAAGTCAGCAGCATAGTGCGTCTCGCTTCCGCAGAGCAGCGAGAGAGCGAGAGTCGGATTTGAGAGAGCGCGAGAGCAAGAAGTGCAACACGCGCTCCGTGCAACAGAGCGAGATGCAGCTAGCGCGGCAGAGCGGGAGAGCGCACGAGAGAGCACAGGAGAGCGCGAAATGAGCACGGTATATTTTAGTACTTTCCGAGGAGGTAAAACTATAGGGGACTTGGGTTCGGTTTTGGACGTTAACGGCATTAAGTTTTTCAACTCGGCCGCGCAAATAACTCAAGAACGGCAGCTCCCGAAGCAGCCACTGAGCATATTGAAAAACACAAGTCCCCGACTCGATTCGCGACCTAAACCATTCAGTGTGTGACGCGAACTGCCAATGCAATAGTTTCCCAAGAATCTTGGCAGTTCTCAGCTAAAATTGAAATTAAAAAGTGCCAGAACCAAGAAATAAATAAATGATCTTCCAAGAGAATAATAAAGTGTTTCCGCCAAATAAAACGCAAGAATCGCAGCACCGTTAGTTCTCCTCTCGCTTTTCCCTTTTGCGCTTCTGTGCGTGAAAAGGAGAAGACACGCGAAGTTCGCGAAAAGCTTAAAATTCGCGACACTTAAAAATAAACACACTCGAGGAAATTACAACAAAAAATGTGGCGCGTGCACGTGTAGCTTGCGACAACAACAAAACATCGAAAATGCTTAAAGCGAATTGCAAAACCATGTGCGATAAGTAACCAAAAAATACACAATAAATACAATAAACAATTTGAGTAGTTGCCGCACACACACACACACACAGCCCGTGGATTATTACACTAAAAGCGACACTCAATCCAAAATACCAGCATCAAAAACAGCAATAAACATGCATTGGATTAAATGTTTATTAACGGCATTCATTTGCTTCACAGTCATCGTGCAGGTGAGTTAAAGTCCCAGGAAAAACCCACATTATTCTTCCAACAATCTGTGTTTTTCGGCGCTTTTCCAATTTCCTTTTTTTCCGCGCATGCGTGCACTTACCGCTGAATTTTGCAGCTGCCGTGCTGGGCGCGCATGTGTTTGTGGCCAAGAAGGGAAGAGCAATTAAAGGCTTAGGGTTGTCAGGTCGATAAATATTTTTAAAAATTCTTTAGATTGGTGGGTGGTTTTAATATTATCTAAAAAATAAATTTTAAAACCACTCTAGCTAGAATCCTACTTCGGACGTTAATTCAGTTCTCAAACGCTTGTAATTTGAGAACTTTTTGGGTAGAAACAGCTGAGCTCGTATTTTAAGCGGGTTGGCTTTTAGGGGTGGAAACTGTGGATCGGATCACCCTTTTCGGAATATACTTCGTAGATGAAAACTAGTTTGAAAAACAGACGAGGCGAGGCCAATGGCCAAACAGGTCCATCCCCAAAAAATTGTTGAATACTAATACACAGAGGAAAATATCAAATATCAGTAAAATAGATTTTAGAAATATGTCAGAAAAAAGTTTTGAAATAATGAATTCGTTTCGGTGTTCCTTAGCTTACATTTAATTCCTTTTGTAATCATAACTTCACGTTCATTTTATAACAAACAGTTCAAAATGATAAAAGAAACAAAACAACAGGAATTGTTAACAATGCTGGACTAAAATCATTGAACATTATATTTAACTGTTAAATCAACATTTTAAATAAAATTTTTCATTAGCATCGAAGTCTGGGTTTTAATTATTAGGCTTAGCTTTTTTTCTGTGTAAAAGCAGAGATAATCAAAGTCTGCCTCAACATCAAAATTTACCACCAACGGCGTAAGCCTCTTGAACAGCAGCAAAAAATTATAAAACTGCTCGATTTCAATATGCGGCTTTTGTGCTACAGTACAAGCCGATGTTAAAAAGTTGATGATGCTGGGCAACATCTGCCGTTGTCGCTGTCATCTCCTCCTCTCTTTCCCCGCTTTGCATGCGCTTTTTACATGCGATTTTTTTTGGTTTACTTTACGCTCTGCGTAGGTCAACGGCGACACATGCGCAGCCCCACTTGCTTCGCTTCTCGTCATTCCTCCTTGCGATTCTTTTCTGCCATGCTTTCATTGATCTTTAACGCCAGCATCCCCCGGTTACACGGATAAAAATAATATACAAAAAAAAAATACTTTAAAAAAGATATACCTTTTTTCCTTGTAGAAAATCTTCATAAATAAGGGTATATATGAATTTGATTTTTATCATCAGCGCAGTTTACTGATTTGTTTTAATTAAAGCAATTTAGTTTAATGTGTTATTAAATTAAATAAAAAGAGAGGGTCTTTAAAATCTTTTCCCAGTTTTTAAACAGTTTCAGTTAAATCTTTTTAATGTTTTCTTATCGATAGTATTACCCACTTATTTTCTGTGCACATTGCATGTGCTCTTAACCTCCTCCACTCTCCGCACTTCTCATTATTTTCACCCAACTTTGGCACGTTGCGTGCTTTTACCTCCACTCCTCGACCAGCTTCTTTTTTTCCAGTCTTTTATTTAGTCGCTAATTTTAACAACGTTCCAAAAAAGTGTCTCGACGCCAACCTCCTGGGGTCTTAAGACAGCGACCAGCTGAAAATGTTTCCCCCATATATGGAAGCATCTGTTCCTAAAGATTCCCTAAGTTCTTACTCATTTCCGACTGAAATTATAGGTGGAATAGTTTAATTTGCCACTTAAAATAATATCTCGGACAATTAGCCCGCCATTAGCAAATGCAATTTAATTCAATTTTCTCCTTATTCCATAATGAATTATATTCTCACAATTTCTCGACCCTTTCATGTCCCATGCTGCGTTTAAATATCAATTTAAGTATCAAAATAACCGTGCTCGCATTGCCTTTGGGTTTTGCATTTATGCAATTTTCATATTAACATTGAGCGCCGAAGGAATGGAAATGAATGAATGAATGAAGACGAAGACTCGTGGGGGAGCTCTCGTAGTCTTCTCTGCTCTACTCATTCTCCATATAACATAATTAATTGCAATTTAGAAGCCAAAGAGGAAGACGACTCCCACACAACGCGATGATTCACTTGCGCTTGTAACTGTTTCCCAAGCCCGTTGTTAACGGTTGATTATGATGATGAATTTAAATGATTAATAAACAACGTGCAGTGTAGGGGCATCAAAGCAAACACCTGTAGGAAAGTCGTGGAAAAGCCAGGGAAAATTATAATAAAAATGCGTGCTTTCATACATTTTTATGTCCCCTTGTGTTATTTTTTCTTCTGTTTTTTTTTTGCTTTGTACAACAACTGTCTGTCTGTCAGTCAAGGCAAGTTGACGTGGAAATCGCAAGAAAGAAACGAAGAACTAACTAACTAGTCGCTTCAAGCCTGAGTGATCGCAGTAAAAATAGGAGTAGTGCCCAGTTAAAAGAAAGAAAAGCAACAGAGACAAAGAATGGCTCAAGCAAAAGGTAAACAATGCAACGCACTATTTTCTAACACTTTAACAAGTGTCTGTCTCCCACCTGAGAGGTTGGCAGTTCCAACTTTCAAGTTCCACCTGGGGAGCCCCCTCGTGGCCCCCCTTTTACAATTTTTGTATCTTTCGGGTCTTCAGGCGTAGTAGAGCTTGGAGTTCATAGTTGAAGGCGAAGGCAAATAAAAAACGGAAAAAGAACCATTACAAGTGTACATGTGCCAAAGTTATGAGGCGGATTGTGCAAGGTGTAACTGAATTTTCAACTTAGAAGATTTACTTCCAAGAAATTTCAAAAGAGTTGAGAAGAAGCATTTTACACATGATTTAATTTTATTAAATAATAAAATTAATTCAGAGTTCTGGTGTCTAGTTTGTAGTTAAGTTGAAATGTTTTGATTCTCTATTTTATTGCTCTTTGTTGTCCACTTATAAAATGCTATAGCTTAATAATCTAAAGTCTAAAATCTACCAATTTTTATAATTTTGCCTTTTTCTTTTATATATAATTTTCCTTGAAAGCGTTATAATATTAACCGTATTTTAAGGTCCGTCAAACTATGTTTAGACGGACCTTAAAATGGTGTGAGAAACTATAACCAAAATTGGTGTCAAATGCTGGACAAAACTATTGTGGTTTTAACGATTGCACTTTTTGTTTTGTTTTGTTTTTGCTTCCCACCATCTTTAAAGTGTGTGTGAATGTTTGTTCGGTGTTATGCAAATTGATTTGCTTGCTGTTGTTTTTTGTTTGTACATATTGTGTCAACTGCTGCGCCTTTGTTTGTGTGCGTGTTTTGTTTATCTCATTTTTTGTAGTTTAGTTTATTTTTGCTTTCCTTTGGCCACGACACAGCCCCGCCCCCGACATCCACCTTTCCAACCTTCCTTCCGCTCAATGGTTTTTTCTCTCCTTTCTTTATTTTCTTTTTTATATTTCTTTTATTAATTCAGACGCATCGTTTGGCTTGATTGTCTATTAATTCTTTTTGCCTGCTTCTTATTCTTGTTTTTTGCGCATATTTATGCTCTTCTTCAAAGCGCCGTTGAAAACAAGTTTTTGCTCTGGGAGAGCCACTCTCGCACACTGTTTCCCTCTCTCTTTTTGGAGCAGCTGCAGCTTGTAAGCTTGCACACACACACACACTAACAAACACGCGACTCCAATTCACTTTTAAGTCACGTTTTATCTCTTTTTGCGCTCAGCTGACAACAACAACTACCGCTCTCCCTCTCTCTGTTAAACTGTTATAGCTTTGGGGCTTCGCTTCCCTCTCTCTGTTGGCGATCTTTCAATATGGCTGCATGCACTGCTCTTCTTCACCTGGCTTTTATTCGCTTACACCTTTTGCTGCTGCTCTCTCGCTCTCCGCGCTCCCTAGCTCTCCCTGTCTCTTTTCCTCGTTTTAACCATCAATGTTGACCGGCAAAATCGTATGCCGTGGGAAACAATTCGGTTTTACTTGTACATTTTTTCATCGTTTTTCTCTGACGTCGACGTCGCTGCCTGTTGCTGCTGCTTCTTTTATTTAATTTTTTTTTATTGTTGTGTTGTGTTTTTTGTGCTGCTCTTTTGCGTCCGTTTTGTTTTTGTTGGCTGCTTATTAATACATACACGGAGAAAAAGACAGACTAAACAGAAGTTTACCTATTTACTGTTTAAATTCAATTAATTTTACATAACGAGTTTTTAAAATATAATTAAAATATTTTATTATCATACTTGCGTGTTTTAGATCAACAATTAGACATATTGTACACACCAAATTAAAATGCATATAATTAAATATTATTAAATTATTTATTACATCTAATTAATTTTTTCTTTTTGTTTCTCTGGTTGCTTTGTACCCGCGTTCGTTGCCTAAGTCTTTCGTTTCGGCGCTTACATTCGTTTGGTTTGTCCTCTCTTTCGCTCTTAATTCCCTTACAATTACAATTGGAAAAGCCTTTGAACAATGTTAGCGCCAGCTTTAGCTCTGTTTTCCGACCGGGATTACACCTGTGTGATTCGACACAGCATCTCTGGACCGCACTTCTGCTTAATTGAGCAATTAAACACCCGTGTTCCTACAAAAGCGAAGAGGAAAACCCACAAAACTTCCCAAGCCACATGTGGAGCACTCGACAATAAATAAGTGAGAAAGAGAGACGGCGACTCACTGCTGTGCTCATGTCTTGTTAACAATTAAATTGTCGTTTTAACAAGCTTCACTTGTTGTGGCTGAAATGTTAATTGCCGAACAGTTATAGAAAACGGAGCAATAACTCCGCAGTGCGCCTATTTTTGGGCATTGGTCGCTTGTTTCGCCCATTTATGGGCCCAGATGATGAAGTCATAATTAAGTTTTAAGTGCCAAGTCCAAATCGAGGTGTAATGACAATTTCCCTTCGAATTTCCAACTCAGAAATTATGTTTTGTTTTAAAACGTAATAAGATGGAACCCAACTTAATTTAACATGCCAAAACAAACATTTACAAATTATTGTATATGGTCATTTCAAGCGTGACAATTTTTATCACTGCAAATTAACATTTTCCCAACATGGTAAATATTAAAAAATCAATTAAATCGACCAAACGACACTTTCGAACACATGCTTGACCCATTTAGCTAATTTCCCTCACACCTCGCTCAACGGCATCAAATTAATTGAGAAATTTATGGGACGACGGCTATCAAACAAATTTGCAAATCCAAATATGCAAATATTGTCGGCGCTTCAAAACGAAAGTCGAGCAGAAAGCCCAGGCCAAGACGGGCAAGCCAAGTGGAATTTATTGCAAACCGAATCGGACCGAAACGGAGCGGTCTGAAGAAAACGACCGCTTGCTGAGCATTTGTCATGTGGCCGGGCTTTTTCGGTTCGGTTTTGGTTCTCGCTTAATATTTCATAAGCCTGTTTTCGTTTTGTCCTTTGCATGGGTCTCTGCTGCTGCTGCTGCTGGTGTTGCCGCTGAAATTCCTCTGCAATTTCAGTTTTTTGTTCAAATACCATGCTGAAAGATTTATCGTCTTGTTCGGAGCTGCATTCTTTGTTCTCCGATGTTTTGTCCCTCTTTTTCTGTGCCTTAATGAATTGCTTTTTAATTTGATTTGACTAATAAAATACCCCCTTGTTGCATCCGTTGCAGGTTCACAGTTCCGGCAACTTTGAGTTGCGACTGAAGTACTTCAGCAACGATCACGGGCGGGACAACGAGGGCCGCTGCTGCAGTGGGGAGTCCGACTCGGCGACGGGAAAGTGTCTCGGCAGCTGCAAGACGCGGTTTCGCGTCTGCCTGAAGCACTACCAGGCCACCATCGACACCACCTCGCCGTGCACCTACGGGGACGTGGTCACGCCCATTCTGGGCGAGAACTCGGTCAACCTGACCGACGCCCAGCGCTTCCAGAACAAGGGATTCACGAACCCCATCCAGTTCCCCTTCCAGTTCTCATGGCCGGTAAGTAAACAAGTTGAAAATATAAATGGCGTATTTCTACTACCTAATCAGTACTTATTATATTTTCCAAAAAACAAAAATCTGTTTAGAAACTCCAGATTTATTGCCCCATAGAAATGCTGTAAAATTAAGGGATCAAAACACTGTGCCGAACACTTTTCGCTGTCACTGTGGCTGCAAATGGCCTGTGCGGATGGCTTTTATATTTAGATTTGCCCTGCGACGACGCCAGTCACTCATTCAGTCAGTCAATAAAAATTTCCAAGTTGTCTTCCTTGCGTTGCGTAGTTTTTCGCCAGAAAACTTATTCGTGCGGCATCTTTGCTAATTTGTTTGGGCTTTTTATAGCCCCTGATCGCTCCCGCGAGAGAACTCCCCGGCTGCCGCGTTTATTTCCGCCGAGCGTCCTTGTCGAGGGTTGTTGGCTGTGGCGCACACGCCGCACCAAACATCTGTCGACTATTAAAAATGCGCTGAAAACGCGTGCGCGAACCGCACCACGGCGCACCACCACCATATCACCGTCACCACCAAATTCAGCACCACCACCAGCGATCCGATCCCATGCGATACCATATACTATACCAACTGGCGAGCGACAATTTCCAGATCGCTGGGTTATAACCACCCCTGGCTCACGAACTTGCCGTTACTTTTTGCCCTACACTTTCCAGTTTTGAATTCTCGGGAGACATGCACATAAACAATCGTATTTCCCAAAGTCAAACTTTCTGTTACTCGAAAGAGTTTGTAATTTATAAGCATAGTGTTTTTTTCTATGAGGCAAAATTTTTCAAAAAGAAATCCAATAACTTTAACTAGTTTAAAGCTTCTGCTGGGTTATTCAACGTTCCAAAAAAGTCACCCTTTTGGAGATTTATTTTTTAGGACTTTTAACCCCCTTTTTTTTCGTATCTCTCTTTAAAGCGCACGTGTGCTCAATAAATTGTTGAAATTTTGAAATACCGCCACAGACGCTCGTCTTTATTCTGTTCAGCTCGACTGGCCAAGAAAAATATGTATATCGCGGCTGTGGCTCGGCTCGGTATGCCGTGCATTTCTTAATTATTATTACGACAAGAGGCTCTACAACACTCGCTCTAGATGATGATGGGTCCACCCTAGAAACGAAGAAGTTACTCAAGCTTCAAGGTATTTTTATGCCAGCAATAACTGGAGTTTGTAACGTATTTTTGTGTCAGTGCGCCCGCAGTTTAAGGGGTGTTTTTCCCTCTCTCCCCCTAATAAGTGTTTTTCTCTATCTCGATCCCCTTTCCGTATAATATGTTTTGCTATTTCTCTTTGCGTAGACATTTTACTTCCTAATTGTTCAGAGCTGTGCGCATGTGCAGCGTCACTATTATTATCATTACACACATGTATCTCAAGTGTGCAAAGTCATGGTCCGAAAAGGGGGAGGAAAGTATGGAGGGGGCAGGGCTATTACCACCGGACCCAGGTAGCAAAAGTTGTTTGGCACGAGAAATGTGTAAGCTGCATACATTTTTAGCGGTTAAACTGCGGGCAAGCATAAATAAACAATTAGCGAACTGTGGGCTACCATAATTAAGTTAAAACGGAGAGTCTCGAAAAGCACGCGCCAAATTGTTCAACTTAGGGCTAATTTAAATATTTTCTACTATATACAAACTCAAAAACATTTGCTTGGAGCGTTGTATTTTTAGTTTATCTAGATAATTCTAGCTTTTATTTTGGTAAATAACTTTAATTAACTTGATTTTATTTTTAGTGCGACACGAATTTTAGTTCTTTGTTTTGCTATCTAAAATTAGTTTTCTATTTAGGCTTCTAACACATTCTAGACTTTATTTCGGTCTGTTTCCGCGCACTTTAAACTCCAAAATATTTCTAGGTCAAACTATAAATTTAATTATAGTTTGACTCTGTCTGCTGCCGCTGCTGCTGCTGCATCAACTAATTTAATGTTGCACTTAATTAAAACAACGAAAGACGAGCCACGCATGCCTGACGACACGCCAGAAGATATAGCAACTGATGTTGCATTGGGGGGGTTGTCAGCCCAGCCCAGCCCTGCCCTGCCCTGCCCTGCCACTCCCCGTTTTCCGCCCGCCCCCAGCGACTAAAAATAGTGAAGCGATGGCAGGCAGCATTCATGCGCCTCTTGCTCGTATTGAACTTTGCTACTTTTGTCCCCCGTCAGATGGTCTTGTCTTGTCTTGTGTCTTGTGTCTTCTGTCTTCTGGCTGTGTCTTCTGAGAGTCAGTCCCCCTGTGGCTGTTGCTACGTGTCTGGCTACCACTCCTACTCCCGGGTCTTCGAGCCCTGCCGCAGTGCACTTCACCCTATCCAGATCCCTATGCTGTATGCTTGCTATATGCTGGATATTGACGTTGATATACAGCACCGACGCACGCGATATTCACTAAGCGGCCGCTGATGCATGTTGCCTCATTTATTTTTGGATTCTGGCATACGCCAGTGCGCACGATTGTCTATAGGTACTCGCAACTTATATATTTTACGTGCACACTAAGGGAAGGCTTTTAAGGTGAATAATAAGTATTTCCCTTTAGGTCAAAAATTGAGCACTAGATAGCTAAAACGAAAAATGTTTACCCTTGAAATAAATAATATTAATCTACCTGCCAGAAATTGATATAAAATAACTTCCCTTTTGCTCCCAACTTTAAATCCCCGACATAAGCCGCATAAAATTGGCCCTATACAAATTTCCCACAATGGGAAATTTTATGCAGACGACCAGCAATCACGTAGTCGCTGTTGAAAACTTTATTTCTCTGCACAATAAAACCAATAAACCATCGCAGCGCTTCATTTCATTTTAACCATTCGTTTGTTATTACCTTTCCTGCTCATTTCCCATTGTGCGCCGCTGGTTAAGCCGATCATCTATGTCTGATTTGCTTCCTGTCGTGCCCATATAAATTTTACGTTTATTCGCAGCGACAAATAGAAGAGATCCGCGAAATGTGCAATTTCAATGTCTGACACACACCAAATGGCAATGCAATCGTTATGCAATCAATCGGCAACTCTGGCTTATCAACCAAATTAATTCTACATCTCCGCTTGGCAGGCAGCCATGCCCACGCAAAATCGAAAGTTGGTCGAAAAATTAGTCATTTACATGCCATGCAACGCGAATCGAATCGAAACGAAACTCGAAGTTCGGAGTTTGGAGCGCGGAGATCGAAGCTCTACGCAATCCAAAACTGCTACGCCCATGGAAAACCGCTGCAGACACCTCTGCAAAAGTTTCCATCGGCTGGTTTTCGCCTTGCTTCGGATTCAGATTCGGAATCGGATTTTGTGTCATCTCTGCCGGTTTTTCCAGCAGCGCTGCATTCGAAATCAAGTGTGAATTGAGGGCGCTGCCTGGCGGTTGCATTCGAAGTTGCATTTTACCGATTTGCATTTGAAATGCATTCGCATTGCATTAGATTTCGGTGGCCTAAGGGGGCGGTGGTGTTTTCGGGGATTTCGTGTGGGCGGCCAACTTGCTTAGCCAGCCGCCTGTCATAATCTCTTTATAATGAGCGCTCACTGTGGGGGCTTCGGAGCTTCCCATTAGCTCAAAATTAGTTATAGCCGATTCGGTTTTGATAAGTGCATTAGGCATTAGTGCCTGTCATTTCCCGTTTAGATGCGAACTTTCTTTAACCATTTCCTTTTCTTTTCCGATTTACAGGGCACCTTCTCGCTGATCGTCGAGGCCTGGCACGATACGAACAACAGCGGCAATGCGCGCACCAACAGTAAGTAAAAGATATTATATGTACCCATGTATATGAAAAATACCTTTCAGGCCGTTTAATTACTTCCTTGAAACATTGCCAAAAGTTATGACGAGCTCATCCTGCTTCCTGTGATCGAAAGCTGTCAAAAAAGCGAGGAGCGATCGCAAAGACCTGCAACTTGATACCAAGCTTTTGCGCTTCGCTCAGTGTAAGATTTCCGGGGTATTGAGTGGTTTTAAATAACCAACCAGCACACACGGGGGATAATCGAGGGCCAGACTTTGTCGCCTTTTGTTGTCTTGTCTGCCTGTTTGAACGGAAGTGTGCTCGAAGTTGAGGTTTGCCCATCCCTCATTTGCTTAAAATGCAATTAAGCCCGAGCTCACGAACTAAACGCTAGTCCAAGGCGATTCCGATTGTCTCGATCGGGATCTCGATTCGAGATCGCAGAGATCGTGTGTAATTCATCTTGGAAACAATGCTACATGGATCTGCTGTGTAGTAACTGATTTTCTTCCAGCGATAAGGACCACACAAGGATCTAGCCAGCAGTGCTGTCCTTGACAAAGCAACCAGATTTTTCTTTCTTCAACAAAACAAATTCCTCAACTCGATTTTTTAAAAACACTTTTTTGTGGCCGATTTTCCCACACAATTTGATGAAAGAGCCAAGGAGGAGAAGGCTACCTGTTTGGGGCTTAGCTACCTGCACTTTCTTTTGGCTCGAAATTTATGGAGTTTTCATAGGAATTTCTAGCATGTTGTTCTCTTTGTTTTTCGTCTCGCCCTTTTCTTCAGCTCGCCCTTTTTCCCTTTTTCGATTTTTCTATATTTAGCTTGGCCTATTCCTTGAAGGAATTTTAATTGTTTTGCTTGGAGCTCCTTAACCGATTTTCACTCGGCTTCTTCGACTTCCCGCTGTGCCGCCTTGGCTACAGGCTAATTTCCGAGGCGGTCCCAGGCTAATAGATCTTTATCGGTACAAGTATAGCCTCTCCACCCCCCTGTTCACCCCTCTTCACCACAACCCCCAACTCCCAACTCCCAAGCAATTGCAATTTCAATTTCTGCACACCGAGATTTCCTAGTCTCGCCGCCTGTCAAGGATTAATTTCATTATTTAAAAGTATGCAACACAGTTTTTTTTTCTCCTTTTTCGTTCGCTACGCTGAATGACGATCTCCCGCATACTTGGACTTGCATAGCAAGTTTACGCCGCAGCATTTTGCAAACGAGTTTAGCTCTTTTTTGTTATATTCATTTAACATAAATTACATAAAGGGGGAGGCGGAGTGAGGGGCAACGCACATGGCGACCTTTTCGCCAAGTTTTTGAGCCCAGAGCCTGAGGCCAGCAAAACGGCCAACAGCCGAAGGAACCGGACCTGCTGGGCAAAAAGAATCTGAATCCCAGTTCGGCACTGTGCAAAAATGACATTATTAACTTGATGTTAATGTATTCAAATTGGGCATGAATTAATAGAATACTTAAATTTAACCAATGAAGCACTAATAAAATTTGTTAATTTTGGTATTTTTCCATAATATCTCCTAATGCGATGACAATTTTCGTACTGTGTACGAAAGACATTGCAAGGTGATTCTCTGGCCTCTTGATGCGTTCAGAAATCTTTCAACTCATGGCTCTCGAGATTTTCGCCGGACTGTGGCGGCCTCTTCGGTTTCCTCACCTATCCCTACCTACCAATTAATCTCTGCCAATGCCAAAGTTGTTAGTTGCACGTTGCGACCGCTGCTCTCCTGGTTCGATGTTGTTAAAATGCTTATCTTTTAATTTTAACTCATTGGATCAAGAAGCGGCAGCCCGGCAACAAGAGCCCAACTTCTCTTTTCGACTTGGCTTCCTTCGATCTTTTCTGTCTTTCTGTCTCTCTGTCTGTCTGTCTGTCTGCCACAAAACTTGTCGTTGTTGTGTTGTTTTCGTTTTTGTTGTCGTCGTGTGTCTTGATAAAATGGTATTTTCGAAAAAATTCCTCAAGTCCAAGTCAGCGATACTTGGGGAGGCGGATGCTGGGTGGGGAGGGGAGGGGAGGGGATTTAGGGGGATCGGGAGTCAGAGTCAAGTTTGGATTTCTTGTTGCAAATTTGTTGCACACAAATTTCACTCATTTGTTGAGCGCAGCAAATGGGTTGACAAAGCGGTTTTCCAAATAATATATTTGTGTGTCAAATAGGCTTTTCATTATTTCTCCTTACGCTAAATACCTTCAAAATTTGTTTATTTTTTTTTCTTGACAGTTTACCTCTCTAGAGAAATTCCCACATAGTTAATTTTTTGAAAATCCTTACATTTCCGCGATTGTCAGTCTTTTTTTTCCAGCCATTGCGAAAGTTGTCACACGCCGCTTTTCCACAGATAATTATGAAAATGCAGCTTTGCGTAAATATTTTCACAAAAAATTTGCCTCATATATTTTATTGCACGTTTTTCCAAACTGGCCAAACTGGCCAAAAATTGTGCGTCTCTTGCCGGCTTGTCTAATAACCTGTCATGCCACAAATCCTATGGGCTTTATCGCACTAGTGAGCGAACGTGTGTGTCGGTGTTGCAAATGTAAATAAAACCACACAAAGTACAATTCAATTTTTTGTTGTTTTTTGTTTTCTGTTTTTTGTTTTTGTTTTTGGGAATGTTGTCGGCTGGTGCGATTTTTGCATTGAATGCTTTTCCATGTTGTCGGCCCCGTTCGTCGTCGGCAGGTGAAGCTTGGCCAAAAAAAATGCAATTGCCAACACATAACAGCTTACTGCCAGCGGATCGGGCAACTGGCTAAGAATTCTGGTTGCCGCATTTGAGTTGTGCATATTTTTGGTAATTAATTAGTGAGTTTTTGGAGTTGCCGAATTTTTTATTTAATATTTTTATTGGCCAACCAGTTAGGCTGCTTGTCAATGGACTCGCTCCATATGTGCGCCCGTGTAATATATAGCTTTGACAATATGGTTTGATATATTTGGGCAAATATTTTTGTCGGTTGCTCAATAGTGGTAGACTGGAAATGCGGAAAATTTGAACTTGTTTATATGCTCTCCGTTTTACTTTCACTATTCCAAATACACTTTTCACCAGGCTAATTAATTCTGTTGTTTTGTTTAGTTCTTCTCTGGCATTTCGTTAGATTATTATTGCTTTGTACATACATTTACTAGCAGAAAACTTGACTGTGGCTTAGCTTTGGCTTAGCTTTGGCTTAGCTTGCCTGCAGTTCGAATAGTCATGCACCTGCAATTTACTTTATAGACCATGGCATAATGTGGCTGCACATGTATCTGTATCTGCATCGGTGCCAGTGTATCTGCATATCTGTGTAAATGTGTGCCTGTAGATACGAGACGCACACAAACGAGTTGCCTTGCCAGCCATCCCAAAGTCGAGACCGGTCGGCGAACAGCTGAAAAATGCTTCGACGAGCTTGGCTGGCGGTCTGCCTGCTGCCTGCTGCCTGCTGCCTGCTGCCTGCTGCCTTCTTTTATTTTTTCTTTACATATTTTGTTGTTGTTGTGGCTGTTGTTGTTGGTATATTTTAGCCATGCCCCGTGTCTGTCTGCCAGTTTGCCTCTCTCATCGCCAAATACCATACCAAGTAGTAAGCCGCCGTAGTCCGTACCCTAACCAAACTGCATACCTCGGCTTGAGCACTTGACTCTGTGACGAGCAATTGCATTTTGGGGGTTTTCAAGTTTCTTCGCTTCACTCCGTTCGATTTCGATTTCGATTTTTGGTTTTTGTTTTTTTTGTTTTTCTATTTCCCATTTGCTGCATTCCAAACAGAGGTTTTTTTTTTGCCTCGAGCGCCATCTCATCGGATCATCTTTAACCCAATTAATCTTCATTAGTCTATCGGCGGGCTCAACTTGTTCTCACACACTTATCGTGGTCCCGATCTCTCTCTCTACTTGCAGATCTCCTCATCCAGCGACTGTTGGTGCAGCAGGTACTGGAAGTGTCCTCCGAGTGGAAGACGAACAAGTCGGAGTCACAGTACACGTCGCTGGAGTACGATTTCCGTGTCACCTGCGATGCCAACTACTACGGATCCGGCTGTGCCAAGTTCTGCCGGCCGCGCGACGATTCGTTTGGACACTCCACTTGCTCGGAGACGGGCGAAATTATCTGTTTGACCGGATGGCAGGGCGATTACTGTCACATACGTAAGTAGAAAATGGTTTTTAAATAATACCATGTGGGAGGTGATTTTCAATATAAGGTTAAATGTTGATGGGTACTTGTAAGCGAAGGGCATTTGTAAAAATAATCAATAGAAGAATTGAAACATTGATTTAACTAGAATGTTTTCTATCAGTTGGAACTTAACTTTTGCTTTTACAAAACACAAATAGTTTTTTGCCATTCGATTATTTCGTGATTTGTTGAAACATTCACAAAAGCTTAAGCCATAGATACAAAGATACACTTTGAATCTCGGCCTTTGATATCCACACGGATCAATAGCCTCCATCCACCACTCCACACATTCTTTTACGCCGAAAGCACTTGGCTCGCTCTGTTTGTTGTTGCTTCTGCCGATCTCCCGATTCAAGTGGCTAAAAACTTAAGTTTATTTTGTGTTTTTTTTTGTATTTGGCCTGCCAGCTCTCATTATTATTGAAAATCACTTGCTTGTCAAATCAAATGAGATGATTGTACACAATGCCCAAAAAAAAGAACTGCTGCTGCTGATGCTGCTGCCCCAACGAATTAAAGTATAATTATTTTCAAATGCGTACGGTGCGATGAGTTGACAAAAAAGCGAAACTAAAAAATTTGAATACACAAAATGGATATCAAGTGGGGGGAACAAGAAATCAAAGTCAAACAAATAAATTAAAAATCAATGAAGTTCGGGAAACGAAAAACAAAATGCAAGATTTTTGGGAAAAGTCATTTGTCATTGGAAGAACAAAACGTCTAACGAACTGCCGAGAGCAGAAATTCGGGCAGCCCTTTGTAGTTGGTTGGTAGTCGCTGTTTAGCTACCTTTGCCTTACCAACAACTTTTCAACTGTGAATCAGAGCAGACACACCACAACACAACACAACACACACCATACCAGACCGACAACGATGATGATGATGGGGATGATGATGATCTTGATGATGAGGAGCAGGGCATACAAAAATCTTCCCACGCCAAGTGCAAGGGCCCGGGTTTTTGGTCCAAAAAGGTGTGGTGCCGGTGTATCTGTATCGGTGGTGTATCTGTGTCTGCGTAAGGGGTCCACTCGCACATATACAGATGATCAAGGCTTGAGTTTGGGTTTGGGTTCGGGTTCGGTTTGGTTTGCCTTGGTTCATCGTCTGCATGCCGAGCATTTCTGAGGACCCGAGAAGAGGAGTCGACGTCGACCCAAGAACAAACTTCCTTTAGGGCTGTTGTGGCAACGTCTGATTACACCTTAAATGTCGTAGTCTCCTGAAGACGGGCTTCGGTTCGATTCTTCTGCTTCTTTACTGCTCTTCTCTTCTCTTGCCCTCCCTTAGCTCTTTTTTTTTTGATTTTTTTTTATGTTTCTGCGCTGCCTTTTTTTCGGGGCAGATAATTTTTGTGTCCTGCTGCCGGTTTAGCAAGTTGCCAGCGGAAGAGGCAGCTGCTCCTGCTTGCTATATTTTATTTTCAACTTAAATGCGCAGAAATGAGCTTAAATTAAGGCACACACTCGCACACATGTGCGAAAATTATTTTCCAGCAGCAGAAGCAGCAGGAGCAGCAGCAAATAAAAAGCCCAAACGTGCAGGCTGCAAAAACAAAAAAACAAATACAAAAAAAAAACAGCCGAGAAACAGAGTAAATTGGCCCAAAAGGTCTTGAAGGTTTTTTTTACATCCCCCTTTGTTTTTCGGCCAAGTGCGTACGTATATGAATGAAGTTAATTTCAAGGAAATGAGCTATTTTGGCTAAACTTCGTGAATGGCAAGCAGCTGGCTGGATTGTTGGCCAGTGGGTGCTAAAAAGATGCATCTGCGAGATACATTTGATGAGCTTTGAGAACCCTGGCCAAAAGTGAAAGTAAGCGGAAGAGGCGATATATATATATATATATCATTCGATTAACGCGGATTATTTCTGGCCTGGGGCGTGTGAACTTCTTTTTCACTTTCTGGAAAATCTATTTCAAGCCAGCCTCCGTTGTCTGCCGGCGATGGTAATAAAAATCATTGGCAATTGCCAATATTACGCTTTTCTCTATATATATTAAAAGGGGGCTGTGCTCGCACCCCCCCCTCCGGCATCCATCCCCTCCGTTCAGAACACGTTTTTGTGATTTTCTAGCAATTTTCCTGCCGCTGCCGCTGCCGCCGCAGACGCTTGCTTCTGAATGAAACTCCGACGGTTTAAAGAGGAGCATCATCATCAGCGGCGGCAGCGGCAGTGGCAGTGGCAGCGGCAGCGGCAGCTTGAGCGGCTCCTTCCACGTTCTGGGCTCCTTTTGGCATTGCCTTTTTTAGTTTTGTTCACGACTTTTACCCCTTCTCTAGGCCCTTGTGGCAACTCCCCAACTTCCTGCCTTCTGCCTGTTGCTTCTCTCGCCGGCCGAAACATGTTTGCCACATTCTTCGGAGAGATCCCAACTCCGACTCCGTCTCCGACTTCAACTCCAACTCCAGCCCAGCTTCCAATCGAAGTTTTCGTCGAACCTTTTGAGCTTGGGAATCTGTTTTCTGTTTTGGGCCACGGCCTCCGCCTCAGCTGCTCAGGCTACAACTGCTACGGCTGCTACGACTGCTGCTTCTTCTCCTGGCCATGGGATTATTTCATTTTGTGTGTTTCCTTTTTGGCCTTAGAAACAAGTTATTCCTGCTTGGCTTAAAACACTCACACACTGCCGATCGATCGCCAAAGAGTTTGAGAGCCACTGGCCATGATTCATTTTTTATAGTTTTTCTTTTTCTTTCATTTTTAGTCTGTGCTAAAACGTTTTAAACGTTTTTCTATTGTTTAACGCGCGGCTTTTGTTTCATTTCCCAGAGACATCTCTCATTTTTGTTTTGTATTTATTTTTCATTGCCAGACGCGTGAAAAAGAAAGTTTTTTCGGCACTTCTGCTTCGGAATTGCCTCAATTTGATGGATCTCGATGTCTGTGAGTGGGTTGCAGCTCGTCGAGTGGGTGTCCCCCGGGCTTATGTTTGTGTCGAACTCTAACTCGGACAGGTGGGGAGTCCATTTCAAAGCCATTTAAGTTTTTGGGAAAGTGCCGCCGCCCGTATTGTTTACATTTTAATTAATTTATATTTAAATTTTTCCTCTCTTTTTTATTTGCAGCCAAATGCGCCAAAGGCTGTGAGCATGGACACTGCGACAAACCCAATCAATGCGTGTAAGTATTTTATTTGATCGTATTTATTTGATTAGGCCTTTGTGAGCCAATGCTGGCATATCTGTAACACATCAGAAAATGGATAGTTAAAATTAGTTTGCTAAATCAATATTGTTTTTTCAAAATATTTACATTTTTCTAACAACAATCAAATCATTGTGTAAAATCCTTAGAAACTTAGAGGACAATGTATTTCATAGAGCCAACTGTTGCTAACTGCAACTAACGGGTTATTTCGCCTTCAATTTTATGATGATTCTTGTCCTCCTTGTGTTTGCACGTTTTATTTGTTTGTGTTTGTTGTTTGTTTTTTTTTTATTTTTTTTTGCTTTTGTTTTTTGCCTGCCCACCCAGCAAAAACAAGAAGAAAAACAGCAACAACTATCATGATGGGGCACACCTTTTCAATGTAATGCTGAATGTTTGACTGCTACCGTGAGCTTTGCGAAAAGGGCAGAAAACACTTTGCTGCTCTTTTATTTTATTTTATTTTATTTTTATTATTTTTTTGTTGTTGTTTTTACTTGGATTTTAATGCACGTTTTTTATTCGCTCGCTCTGTTCGTTCGGCGACCGCAGAAATTCTTTTGGTTCGGCGCGATGTCATTTGATTTGGCCGGGGTTTTGCATTACAATTTTGAAGCGAAGTAAAAGCCAGGCGACCAAATTGAATTACAAGTACCGAAGTTTTTCCCACATTTTTGCCCATCAAGGTGTAAGCGAACACTTTTGACGACGCTGGCAAATATTTGCAGATATTTGCAGCATACAATTTCAACAAAAAACAGCTGCACAGGGGAATAAAGTTCAATATGGCTAGACCCAATGCTTTTACATAACTTTACTTCACTTTACTTTACTTGATTATTTCTATTTGAATAGTGTTGTGCTAATTTTGCTACACTAGCGGCGATCTGCTAAATTGATTTTTCAACGTCGAGAGTAGAGGATGTCGCTCATTATTTATGCATTATGTTGGCCAATAAATATCTCTCACTGGCGGCCGGGCGGAAATCAAACATTTTGTGGTCCGCCGATAATTGTGCCAAATAAAAACGAGCACCAAAATCAACACATCATTGTGTGGAATGGAGTGGAGTAAAGTGATTGGTGGAACTGTTTTGTGAATCGAATTGTTAGCTGGAAACCACAGATACGCCCGGGTATGCGTGCCACTTAGCCAGGTTGTTTGATGGTGGGAATATTTTAATAATTCTAAGCGCATACAACACACATTTGCTAGTTGGCAACGCGACTGCTGCTTTTTTGACATTTCTTTGTGTACACACTGGCTGACGCATATCAATTACTACTTGTCTCCCAGTCTGTCTGTTTGTCTGTTTTGTCTGTTACTTGTCTCTCCAACTCCACCGCTTCCACCCACTCCGCCCTCCGCTATTTCAACAGGTTAGCTGTCTTGGTTTGAATTATTAACTATTGAAATCTTTGTGGGTGAAGGCTTTTTTGCCTCACAGTTGGCCACACTTGCATTTGGCAATGCGTGCATGTGCGTGCGTGCATGCTTTTTTTTGTTGCAGAGGAAACACTTTTTTCTTTTTGGGCTTGAAATCAATTTATGATCGTGAGAAATGCAAAAATTTTGTGACTGCCTCTCAGCTCTTTCTCTCTTTCTCTTCTTTATTTTCAAGTGTGCGGATATGACTTCTTGCAGAGACATTCGTTTTATTTCAATTGCGAACGAGACTTTTTCAAGTTGACAAGCCATCTTCCTTTCCCTGGGTCTCTGCATCTGCCTTGCTCTTTTCTTGCCCATCCTCTGCCTCTTTTTCCACTGCAATCAAGCGTGGCATGCAAACAAGTGTATGTGGGGGAGGGAGCGGGATGCAGAGATGCGTGGAACAGGTGATGGAGCACCAGTCTTCCAATTCCCTCCTGCTCGCTCGCATTTAAAAGTCAAAAGTAAACCAGCGCTCGCGGCGCTTCAATAAACAGAGCCAAAGATGTTTAACTGTGCTTGTGGATTTCTTTGAGACCTCTGTTAAAGAAATAAAATGAGTGATACCCAATGTTTTCGAATGTGCGATGAGCGAAATAAATTAAATATAATGTAAATAAATGAGAATAACTCATACTCAAGCATGGTCACACTTGCAATGACACCGTTATTTCTTGTATTTATAAACCTACAGTCACACTAATCATCCCTTTTTTACCTTTCTCTCTGTTTTTACAGTTGCCAACTGGGCTGGAAGGGAGCTTTGTGCAACGAGTGCGTTTTGGAACCGAACTGCATCCATGGCACTTGCAACAAACCCTGGACCTGCATCTGCAACGAAGGATGGGGTGGCTTGTACTGCAACCAGGATCTGAACTACTGCACCAACCACCGACCCTGCAAGAATGGCGGAACCTGTTTCAACACCGGCGAAGGATTGTACACCTGCAAATGCGCCCCCGGATTCAGTGGCGATGATTGCGAAACTGAGATTTACTCCTGCGATGCCGATGTTAATCCCTGCCAGAATGGTGGTACCTGCATCGATGAGCCGCCGACGAAAACGGGCTACAAGTGCCACTGTTCCAGCGGCTGGAGCGGCAAGATGTGCGAGGAGAAAGTTCTCACCTGTACGGACAAGCCCTGCCACCAGGGCATCTGCCGCAACGTTCGTCCCGGTTTGGGGAGCAAAAGTCAGGGCTACCAGTGCGAGTGTCCCATTGGCTACAGCGGACCCACCTGCGAACTCCAGCTGGACAACTGCAGCCCGAATCCCTGCATAAACGGAGGAAGCTGTCAGCCGAACGGAAAGTGTATGTGTCCGGCGGGATTTTCGGGCACCAAGTGCGAAACGAACATTGACGATTGTCTGGGTCATCAGTGTGAGAACGGAGGCACCTGCATCGATATGGTCAACCAGTACCGCTGCCAATGTGTTCCCGGATTCCATGGCACTCATTGCAGTAGCAAAGTGGATTTATGCCTCATCCGGCCGTGTGCCAATGGCGGAACCTGTTTGAATCTGAACAACGATTACCAGTGCACCTGTCGGGCGGGATTCACTGGCAAGGACTGCTCCGTGGACATCGATGAGTGCAGCAGTGGACCGTGTCACAATGGCGGCACCTGCATGAATCGTGTCAACTCCTTCGAATGCGTATGTGCCAATGGCTTCAGGGGCAAACAGTGCGACGAGGAATCCTACGACTCGGTGACTGCCCACCAATATGGAGCCACGACGCAGGCCAGAGCCGATGGCTTGACCAATGCCCAGGTTGTGCTGATTGCTGTTTTCTCAGTGGCCATGCCCCTGGTGGCGGTGATAGCGGCCTGTGTGGTGTTCTGCATGAAGCGGAAGCGCAAGCGTGCCCAGGAGAAGGACGATGCGGAGGCCAGGAAGCAGAACGAGCAGAATGCGGTGGCCACAATGCATCACAACGGTAGCGCTGTGGGCGTGGCATTGGCCTCCGCCTCTCTGGGCGGCAAGACCGGCAGCAACAGTGGCCTGACCTTCGACGGCGGCAACCCGAACATCATCAAAAATACCTGGGACAAGTCGGTCAACAACATTTGCGCCTCGGCTGCAGCGGCAGCGGCGGCGGCAGCAGCGGCCGACGAGTGCCTAATGTACGGCGGATATGTGGCCTCGGTGGCCGATAACAACAATGCCAACTCAGACTTTTGTGTGGCTCCGCTGCAGAGGGCCAAGTCGCAGAAGCAACTCAACACCGATCCCACGCTCATGCACCGCAGTTCGCCGGCAGGCAGCTCCTCCAAGGGAGCGACGGGGGGAGCACCGGGCGCGGCGGAGGGCAAGAGGATCTCCGTGCTGGGCGAGGGCTCATACTGCAGCCAGCGTTGGCCCTCGTTGGCGGCGGCGGGCGTGGCGGGAGCCTGTTCATCCCAGCTGATGGCCGCCGCCTCGGCAGCGGGCAGCGGAGCGGGGGCGGCGCAACAGCAGCGGTCCGTGGTCTGCGGCACTCCGCACATGTAACTCCAAAAATTCGGACGGGCTCCAGGCAAATCCGGAGAAATCCGTATGGAGCTAACAACACACACACACATACACACACACACACAAAGAAAAGACTGGGTTGGGTTCGAAATGTGAGAGAGACGCCAAAATGTTGTTGTTGTTGATTGAAGCAGTTTAGTCGTCACGAAAAAATGAAAAAATCTGTAACAGGCAAAAACTCGTAAACTCCCTTGAAAATTTTGTATAGTAATTAGCATAACTGTGACCTAGCCGTTTCGATCGTTCAATATATCATTGTTTCCAGCTGGAACATTTTTTATAGATTTTATAGAATGCAAATCCTAGGAATTATAACTTTGGAAATCATAAAGTTTGAATAAAAATTTTTTAAATATTGAAAATTATTAAACAAAAACAAACAATTTACCCGATCGACACTGCAAAAGGGACACAGTTTTTGCAACCATAATTATTCCAATGGACTGACCAAAGCCTAAAGTTGTATACCATAAAGACAAACATTCAAAATTAAAAAACTTTTTGTTTTTGACACCCCCAAAACCCCTCAAAAAAAAAATCACTTGACCAATTGCTTGCTAGAATTTAGACCAAGACCAAGAACCACTGGACGACAGAGTCAGAGAGACGACTCTGCACAAGTTTTGACGTTTTGCATGTTACTGAAAAATCTGCTTCAATTTAATCTATTTTTCACTTAGTTCGGAATAAATTGTAAATATTAATGGTAGCCGTAGCCTACGCGTAAGTGTAAACTAATGCTAAAACGATTGAAAAGAAACCTCCTCATTGACGCCGCCCGAAACGGTGCTGCTTTTCTATGCAAGGCAGTCGGTCGGATCGGGCGATTTGTATATAGTACTCATAGGTCACATCGATATACGACATGGATAAGAGAAAAAGATGAAAAGCCACACAAAAAAACTACATAAATTGACACTATCTCGACAATTTAGTTTCTAACTATGTATATGTAAATGTAGCGAACGAAGAGAAACCTAAACTTAACTCGACTCTAGCTTAATGTTAATTTAAAAAAAAGACCCCACACAAACAAACATGCGAAGACAAGCAAAACATTTAGTGATTCTATTTTAAGTACTTCTAATTTACCCTACCAACCAATTATTTTTTTTCGATTTTTAATCTTATTATTTTAATCTTTATTTTTTAATTTTGTCCATCTACAAACCCTATATTATTTTTCGGCCTATTCCGATTTGGAGCATTTATCAGCGATGAAGTCAATAATATTTGTAGTTAGCTCCTAACTGTAAACGAAATGTATTGAATTTATAAATTGTAAGTTGAAAAGCAAACAAATTTAATGAAAACTCAAAACTGAATTGGAACAAAACAAAAAAAAAAAACAATATATAAACAAAAGCTAAGCAAAAGTTAATGAAATATACAAAACAAAATATACAAACACAAACAAATGAAAATTCGTGTTTTTTCAAAGTCTCCAAATAGTCTTATTATTATTATTTTTTGTTATTAATGCAAAAAAGGTTTATACAATTTAATTTTGATCTCAAAACCGAAGACAACCAGACAATGTGCAGCACGAAAGACGCAAAAACTGTTTGCGAAATTCCAAAATGTCAAAATTAAATCAACAAAACTACAGTTAAATTGCAAATGGTTCCTCGTTAGTGTAAAGAAATGAAAACTAGTTGTAAAAGTGCTAAATACAAACTGTGCAGCAACTTATCTGATAAATCCTACACAGTATATATTTTTATACGTTTGCTATCGCAGCTCTCTCATCCAATTTTGTACATAAAGTTTTCCGATCCTGTAAACTGCGCTCATACGGGATATAAGCTTTTACAGCCTATAGCCACACACATATATTTTTTATAAATATCTAATTTTTAAATAGTCGTTTTTAGTAATTTATATTTTTATTGCAAATGTAAAACCGAAAAAGGAAACAAAAAAATTAGAGAAACTCGAGAGAAAATTGTAAAAAGTTAATAAGACCCTAAAACACACATATTTATACCAGAAGAAAATAAAAAATGAAAACCCATAAAAATAGTAGTTACTTGCATACAATTGTAATTTAGTGTTGTACTTACGATTTAGTCTAAACAATTTTATGAAATTTTTTAGTAATTAAAAAAATGAATTAAAAAAACGAAGCAAACAAAAAAGCCACAAAAAAACGAACAAACAAAAAATGCAAAAGAAAAAATATGAAAAAAACAATAAAAAATTTTTATGAATGAATTATAAAATACAAATGTTTAGTTATTTGGAAACGGGTGGGGGTGGAATTGCAAGGAAGTCGGATAGCGCAATTTCGATAATGTTGTTGTGGTGCTCCTCGATATTGTTGTTTGCAAATTAAAAGAAGATTAAACAGTCTGAAAGTGTTTTGCTTTCTGACATTAGAGCAAGATGAAAGTGGCATTTGCTTTGCCAACAAATCGAGGAAAGTGCATGGCTGCAAATCAAGGAATTTATGTTGGCGTCAAAATGCTATTTTAATTGTGATTTCATACTGCAAAAGTGCAGGAAGACATACAAACAATCAGCCAAGAAAGAAAGCTAAGTATTTACGGCGACTAAGAAAAAACAACCAAATTAAGCAGAATATGTAAACATCAAAGTTGATGTCTCAGTTGTCTTTGCCGTCTTCAAGGTGTTGTTGTTTTGGCAGGAGCTTGTTTACAAGGCGAATTACAGTGGATCCCAATTGTCAAATATCAGACAAAAAGTTATTATGGTGAGTATCTGTTATCTTCCGCAACAATGGTAGTCAAATCTTAGTCATTTCTCTTAAAAATATTATTATTATTTGTTGGAAACTTTTTTAAAATAAAATTGTTCCCAAAATTAACGTAAAAAGAACATAGAGAAAGAATGCATTACAAAAAACTTTAAAAAGTCAATTAAAACTGCCTTGTAATATGTGATTTTATAACTAATTTTGTTTAAAATAAAATATAAAACATTGGCATATATATGTTTATACATGGTAGAAGTATATTTTACAAACCCTACTAAAAATTTGTTTAACATATGATTGTTAGTCTATAAAAAGTATTATTATAATTGACCTCAAATGCAGAATTTCTTTGATGAAATCTAACACCATTTTGTTAATTGACTGCCACTTGGAGCTTCCATTTTATAAGCCTCAATCAGAATTTCTGCGACTTTGTAACATGAAAATATATAATAATATGCACAAAATACAACCACTGTGCTGCAACTCCCAGAAATTACAACAAATCACGCAGCATACTCAAAGCACGACAGAGTGGCGAGTAGAGCTACAGAGCATTAACAATAAATTCTCGCATGCCATTGTGAAATTCTCACAATAATCATAAATAATAGTTTATTTCTACTTTTTAAACGGCCTGGCCGAGAGGCTGTTAATGAAGTTGCCTGCCCGCCGAGTGCGTATCTGTCTGATTTACTAACTGAGCGGCGGTACTAAAGGAAAAATAAGCGAAGAGACGGCGACCAGGTCGAGATTCTGCCGCTGATGCTGCCTAATTAAGCAACTTTGCACAGCAAAAAAAAGTTTAATTTATACTAAGCATCTTTTTAATGCTAGAACTTTTACCGACTGGTATAAAAACCTTAGTTTCTTACACGCTAAAAATGTCTTAATCTTGGCTTAAGACACTAATTTGTAGAAAAAGGACAAACAGATGAAAATAGTCCCTTGTTTTTAAACTTGCTTTAACGTGCGTTTCGGTCAAAACTCTAAAGACATCTGAATAGAAACGTAATAAATATAATATATTTGTATTAAATTCAAGACTTTTCTTTATCTGGACTCAAGATCCAAATTTAAAAATCAATGTGAAATAAGTTGTAAAAAAAAATCTATAAAATATAGATGTTTAAAGTATAAGAAACTTTAAAATGAGAAGATTTCTTGGCGTTAGAAACTGTTTTTCACCTGAGTGTAAACTTTGCATTTAAACTGGCGAGTCATTAAGCCAGCAGGAGGGGAAATGGAGCCCAAGGTGCGCTGCAATGGGAGATGGCTAGCGTATCGCTTACCAGACAATTGCGGCAAAGATGCATCGGGACGATCTCAAGGGGCTAAACCATTAAAATGCACTAAGACAATATTTTGTTAGGTCGTCGCACACACTTGGGGCCCAAACAGACCATCATCAATGATCGTCCACTTTGTTTGTTTATCAAGTTGGTTTACTCTAGATTTTGTCATTTCATCTTGGCCCGTGTGGAGATGCTCGTGAGTGGTGATCTCCACACGGTCTCCTCCTTCTTTTTTTTTTTTTTTTTTGGCACCTAATTGTGTTTACGTTAGCCCCTTGCTCCACACCAAATTAACCCATTGAGGACGCATTTCAATTATGTTTGGATAAACATAAGCAATGGGAACATTCGTTGACAGTGATATTGCCCCAAAAGCCACGTCAAAAAAAATATAAAAAGACAAAATGAAGTGTCCCAGACCAGACTCATTCCACAATTATGCTTTTGTCTGAGCGCGTTGAAAATTGTTTGGCTCAATTCTCATAAAACGAACCAAAACCAAAGTAAAAAAAAAAAGATCAACAACTCAGTGTTCTTGTTCTCATTCTTGTTGTCTTGTCTCCGTCTCTGTCACTCCGGTTTGAAAATGTTCTTTTTTTTAGTTTTGTATTTTTGTCTGTTTCTGTGTTTTATTTTTTTTCGAATCCATCGTGCATTCATTGTCTTGCACTAATCGCCATAAAAGATCTCGCTTTTCATCTCTTCTCGTGACGCTGCGTTGTTGATCTTGAAAATCGGCTGTAAAAAGAAGCCAAAGCAATAGCACACAAATCTCCGCTCGGATTCGAAATCCAAAATAGTAAGCCGAGGCTGCTAGAGGATTTGGATGGTCTTCGCCGTCTCATGATCGAAAATTGTAGCCATGTACTCGTTTGAAGAAGTGTTTTCTTCAGGGATATAAAAATCTTGCATTGCAAGAAAATACAACCTAAAAAGCTCGAAGATTTTACTAAAAATTCAAATATACCTTTAAAAACATTAATCTTTTTAATTTTTATATTCACTAAAATGGATTACTGGATTTTCAGTCCAACAAACAACAAATTTAAACTAATAGAGTTTATGAAAGTAAAAATAAGTTAAGACATCAGAAAATGTTGATTTCCCTAATTGTGAATTAAAAAAACACTTAAATAGATTTATGTTTTTTTTAAATGGCCCCAATTATATCACTTGATCCCCCATTGATATCTTCCAGTGCATCCTACTCATATTTCAATATCTTCTCCAGGCAGTTTCCCAGTCCCTCGCATAAGTGATCCACAATTTAATGAGCTTCATTCATCCATTCATTCATGCAGCGAGACTGAGTGAGAACTAGAGAAACGAAACTCCTTTTCTCGGGACGGCC